CATATCCAAAAATAATAAAGACAATTACTTATGAATAAAAGTAATTGGTACAAAGTCTTTTTCTGTCCAGTTACTGGGTCCACCGTTGGTAGTAGGGAAGATCCAGCTATCCATGTCATAGTCACTGTCAGCATCTTCTGTGTCAGAGACAACATCAATAATATTGATCCACGGGCCGTGCTTCAGCATGGGTGCAGTTATGACGTTGGGAGTTTCCGGAGCATCGAATTCAATCTCCTTTGCCTCGATCAGATCCTGTACCTTGTTCTTCAAATCCTAGCAGTCGTTCGTGTCATTCCCCAGAGTCTCAGAATGGTAGGCGCATCGAGAATTTGGATTATAGCGGGGAGAGGCAGTATTAGGATTCTTCGGAGGTTCCCTCAGAGTTACTAGATTGGATTTCAACAAATGTGGCAAGACTTGAGACAACGTCATATTTATCTGGGTAAACTGTCTTACCGACCTTTCTTTTCTAGGCTGATTGTTCCTTTGTTGAGTAGGTGCAGGTTTAGGGATCATAACATCCCTTACCGTTGGACGGTGTTCAGTTTTGTCTTGATTCCTTTGACTGTACACATCACTAACCTCTTTCTTCCCAGTAAATGGCTTTCTTACTATACTGGAGGATGAATCCTTTTGGATCTTACCACTCCTAATTCCAGCTTCCACTCTTTCTCCCGTCAAGATCAATTCAGTGAAGCCGGCTGAGGAGCTTCCAATCAGGTGATTGAATAACGGACTAGACAGGGTACCCAGAAACATATCCACTAGCTCCCTATCAGACAGGGGGGGTTGGACTCTTCCTGCTAAGTCCCCCCACATTTGAGCATAGTCTTTAAATCCCTCGCTCGAATCCATAGACATACTTTGGAGTTATGTACGGGTGGGAGCAAGGTCTGCATTATACTGATACTGCTTGTAGAAAGCAGCAGCCAGGTCTTAGCAATTACAGATGTTGGGCCCTTCCAGCTGGTAGAACCATTCTATTTGAGTTCTGGACAGACTATCTTGAAAGAAGTGGACCCATAAGTCCTTGTCAGTAGTGTGAGGTTGTATCTTCCTCACATAAGATCGGAGGTGCATCTTGGGACATGAAACCCCATCATAATTGGTGAACACCGGAACCTTGAACTTTTACGGGATGACAACCCCAGAAACTAAACCCAGTTCTTCAAAATCCAGACCTGGTACCTTCCGGGCTTCCATTGCATTCAAACGATCCTCCATCTATTTGTATTTTTCATCAGTAGGAGGATACTGTTCCTCATCATAGTCAGATTCATCATCAGATTCTTTTGGACTGGAGTCTTTCCCTCTTGTTTCCTCTTCTTGGTTGTCTCCTTCCTTTGATGAAGTTACCAGTTCACAGGCTCGCCCACTAGTCCTCTGATCCTTCTTCCCAGATTCACTAACCTAGTTGGCTTCTTTGGCTTCTTCTTTTCTTTAACAAGCAGGGATTTTAGTTCTTCTTGCCCTTTGGTCAGAGCCATGATCATCTGTTGAAACTGAGCATTCTGAGTCTGTAGATCCTTCACTGTTTGTTCTAGAGCCATTGCTGAAATAAACAGTGAAGAAGATGAAAAACCTGCTATGAAACATGTTTATGCAATGATATGTATGATATATGTATACAATATTTTCAAGGATCTCGCGGGGTAAACAAGAAATGTCAGAAGTTGAAATTTGCAGCTTTGATTAAAGAACTTCGTATCGTTGAGTGTCCTTCTACGAGAGTCAAGCTCACCATATCAAGTGGGTCATAGCCCCTGACTCAAGTTGTTAAGTTTTGAACTTCTGACGACATTGGATAGAGGAAAATAAATCCCCTTTTCCCCTTGCTAGACGTCTGATTTACCATAACCTACATCACAAACCCTTGAGATCCTCGAAATGGTTAAGGAAATTTTGTGGCATGATGTTATGCTGTGTATGATTATGCTAAGAAATCACATATATAGCAAGCAAATCACACAAAAGACCTTAAGTTTAAGGCTTTCATGGGTTTTAAGGTAGTACCCTCTTGAAGTTAGATTGGTTCAACCTGTCCTATAAATAGTAACCGGGTTCTAAGGAATCTCAATATTACTGATCTTTCCCACAAGCTTCATTTGATAGGCGACTGATTCGCAACCAAATAATACTCAGGAGTCAAATCTCAATGAGTGTAGCATCGAGTGTCTCCCGACTTTGGGAATACACCAAAGACGGCCATCTCACTATGTCCTAATAGCCAAGTTGTTCATTTAAAGGTTCTAAGGTCAGTTGACGCTTTATAACACCATGTAGCGGCCCCGTATTCTCCTTGATTAACTCAAGGGCTATCGGTACCAACCAAAGTGTTGCATCAACATAGAAATCACTTCAACCGTGTTGGTATACCCCGCATAGTTTCCACGATCTATTGCTACTTACCTAACAGGTTTCCCCATACCCGGGTGTAGGATCTATAGTAACCCAAACAATCCCTTAAAGGTAAAGCAAACAAACAAGCAAACAATTTAGAAATGATCTAGACCCTAAGGTAAACCCCATTTTATTATACTCCCTGGCAGAGTCGCCAGTTCTGTGATACGGTGGTAGAACCGACTGTTATATACTGGTTTTGCATTTTTTTGTTTGCAAATGTCACGGTAAGCAAGAATTGCCACCGACTTTTCTAATATCCAACAAATGAACAGGTGAAAAGAATAGAAAAAGATCTTTTTCGAGATTTTCTGAGTAAGGGGTAGATTATGGAGAGGAAGATATTATCACCCTTTTTATCCATGGTTTTCCACGGGCTCTTAGGTACTTGCTCATTTTTGAAAATTGTTTGTGTTTGTGTGTTTTGAAAGGTTTTTGTTTGCTTTATGGAAACTCTTGTATCAGTCCACAAGAGTGTGATAAAGCGTTTTTGAAAATAGTTTTTGAAAAGTGTGTAAGTGTGAAAATTTCAGATTTGAGAAAGTACCTAACAATTATCTACCTACTCGAAAAGGATGTTCTTTTCCTCCTACCCTTTAGATAGTGCTATCCTACTATTAGTGAGTAGGTAGCCCTATCATCGAATGTTGAGAGACAATCAAAGAGACGTTTTGAAATCACGAAGGAAATTTATGGAGACGCTTTAGCAATTTTCTTTTAGGGACTAGATCATTTACCGAAAGGCAACTGTAGGATCATCGAGAGACTATGATCTTTTTTGATTTATGGGTCTTTACTAAAGCGTTCCTGCCTCATGACTGTTTAATTTAAAGGCAACCGAAGTGAGAGATACCTTAGAGTTGCGCATGTGCAAGTGTGTTGAGATTCAGTTATTTTTTGTCTTTTTGTTAGGTTAGCTAACGTTTGATTATTGGTCTTTTCATACATGCCTAGTTACTAACAGTAATATATACAAAAAAAATAAAATGCGGAAAGTATAAATCTAGACTATTACATAGCTTCGGGGAGGGGGATTTATATTCCAAAGCAATTGGGAAAAAGAAAATAAAGCAATAAAAAGAGTCTACTTATCCTCTATTACACCCCATACAACAATTACAATAATATAAATAATGTGAAAATATTTATCTTTATGCACGTATGTTATGCATTATATATTATTATATGATTTTGATAATTATGTGAATTATCACCCTTCTATTGTAATGATGTTTTATATGACATCACTCAGGTACTGAAGATTAGAGTTGATTCTAGCAAAAGAGTAGTTGGAGGGGTTAGCTTATTTTATTTTCATATTGTGGTTTTGAGTCATGCTATAATTATGTAACTTGAGAAATCATTTTAATTCATGTTTGAGAGATACTTTTGTATACTCTATTTATTTGGTTATTCTTATTTGAATTATATGGTGAGTTTTCTTTTATGCCTAAGTGGTGAAACGAATGAAGTTTTATGAGACTCAAATATTATATTTGTTTTGAATAAATTATGTCTGCTTCTACATACTTATGGAAAAATATATGAAAACATGATTTTTTAAATAAGTGTTATTGAGCATGACAAGTGTATATGTGATGTTTGAAATATGTGTGATACTCTTGTTTGAGATGCATGATAAATTTACTCTAACTTATGATGTGTTATTCTATGGAAGTTTAGAAGAGTGTTACATATAGTATAAGTGTGGGTGTAGGGAATAACCCAACATATCAAAGTTGTAAATATATATGTACACAATAATATTAGAGGTATTATAAAATAAGTTTCAAAACAAAATTTATGTAAATTTTTCATAAAGTCCTTAAAGTAATGTGTCCTAAGATAAATGCTATAATAAAAGGATATAAAAGTAAGTTTAATGGTAATTTTTTTGTTACAATTTTAATGGTAATTTGTTTGCTAAAGACTTATAGTAGATTAATCGATTTTTATGTCTTTTAACACACTTATTATGCATGTAATTGTATGTAACATGTGCATTACTATGTAATACTAGCATGATTTGTTATATTTCTTCTTACTCAATTATTTTAGGAAATTTTAAGACCTCCCCGCAAACATTGGATAGATGTGTTTCTCCATAAAATTCGTTATGTTACCCAAAATTCAACCATCTCTTCTTCTATAATCTCTAATTTTTATAACTCTAACTCTATATTATCTAATTAAAATAAACAAACTCATAGTAGAATATGATTTGAAGAAGAAGAAGGTGACAGACTCATCTAACAAACACTCCACTTCTTTTCTCATATCCTTCTATTATCAATGTTAATCAATGTTATCTTGACACTCTTATCTTTATTAAATTCACCAATTTTTTTAATTTTTTTTGCAGAAGTAAATCAAAAACATTGGATCAAAGTGGTGATATAAATAACTTTTGATTGTCATCTCTACCTCAATCTGTTCGGGGACTCGATGTATACCTTTTTCTTGTTCTTGTTTGCTTGTATTTGTATCTTGTATTTTTGTACCTTTGAATCATTAATGTTATAATTTAGAGGTTAAGAGAAAACAATGTTGTGTGTTGAATATTTTCAGGTCGTCGGAAAAGAAGACTTAATGAAGAAATGTCAGGTATAGATAGCAAACGAGAGAAGTTAGCTGGTTTGTCTCTTAATGACATATTAGCCAATCAAAATAGATCCGTATCAACTCCGTCAACCCAACCATCTCCTAAAAGCCGAACTCTCTTAGAGATCATCCGAGAAGACCAAACCAATAAAAAAGATCGAAGGTAACTAAACACTCGGTTGCACCAACGCTTCTAAAAATGAGCGTCTTTGTCTGTGTTGGTGTTAGAAACTTACACCAACAATTATAATTACGTATGATTTAATTATTTTTTAAATTATTATCGATGTGGAGATGTATTTTTAACCATACAACATGAAACTATCAACGTGTTGTAGCAAAATAATACTAATACTTCATTTTTATTGATTTTTAAGATCTTGGAAAGTCTTTAAAGACAAGCTTCGGCTCAAGCGCTCCGGCTCGGCTTGGACATCATCAATTCACATTCCAACATCAGACATTCCCATCCAAAATCCAAACAGCAGAACCTTTTCCCAGCTCGGCCGTCACGACTCGGTCCGAATCCAATCTCACCACGACTCGGACATGGAGACAACTCACCAAGTGGACGACCTCGTTCCGCCAGATGAATCCAATGCTCCAGTTTCTAGACCACAATTCTCTCGCAAGAGCTCAACTCGTTTCACGCCGGATGCCTCTGAGAGTCCCACCGGTGGAGGACTTCTCCGACCGCAACTCTCACGTAAGAATTCCGTCAACATGCCATCGTCAGAGCCCTTTCGAAAAGGCCGTGTGGTGACTTTTCGAGACAGCTTTGATGATGACGAAGATGACGAGGATGAAACCAAGAAGCCGGGGAGGGCATTATCCGCTAGAGAGGCTGTGGCGGCTCAGGAAGCGGCAGAAGCTGCTTCGGAGGAACAAGAGGAGGGTGAGACAGGACATCCGATGATGTCGCTGATGGATTTGTTAGAGGAGACCGATAGAGAAATGGGGTTGGAAGGGTCGAGGTATGTATTAAGTGATGATGAAGATTATTATGATGATGATGAAGAAGAAGATGAAGATGATGAAAATGGAGGAAGTGGTTTGGAACAAAGTTGTTGTATTTGCATGGTGAAGCATAAGGGTTCTGCTATGGCATCTTGTGGTCATAGTTTTTGTAGGATGTGTTCAAGGGAGCTTATGGTTGCCAAGGGAAATTGTCCACTTTGTAATAATTTCATTACAGAGATTCTTGATATTTTTTAATGTTGTTTCATTATTCAAGTTTTTGTCATGGTTACTATTTTTTGGTTTATGTTATGGTTACTATTTTTTGGTTTAAGTAGGAATTTGTAAGAGTGTGGATGGTGATCTCACTCTTATTTTTTGCTTTTTATGTTGTCCAAAAATTTTGGGTTCATTCAATAGGTGTTAATTGATTTTTTCCCTGATCTTGCATGAGATGGTTCTTTCTTAATACGAATATATTCTAATTAAATTATGCTATATATGTGAATTTTATATCTGATAAAAAATAGTAAGTCTACTATTTTGCTTCTTGTAATAATAGGGAAATCCCATGAATGTCGATCTCAAAGTCTGTGTATCAGTATCAAGTTCAATGCATGGTTCAATCAAACAAAAACTTGAATTAGGTTTTTGGTTTGTTATTGTGTAATATCCATATACTTATGTTACTATAATATGAGAAGTAGTAGAGTTATAAAGACATTGGTCACAATTGAACTTAATGGCAAACTAGTAATAATGGCTTAGTTGAAGGGCAAGATGGTCAATAGACATGAGGGCATGGAATCTTAGTGGCATGTTTGGTGGATGTCACAAATCATATTTTTGTGGGAAGAGAAAAGAGATAGAAAGAAGAAGTCATGTTTTCTCTCTTCCAAGCTTCATTTTCGTACTCCATGGACAACCTACACATAATAGGTCATAACTTCTTACTCATATCTCCGCTTTAAGAAATTCTTGAAGTTCTGGAATCTACACGAAATTCTCTTCAATTTGATTTAAGATTTCATGATCATAGCTTTTGTATTGAAGGAGAAAAACGCATTTGAAGTTGGAGGATGCATGCTGAAATGGGTATTAAGGTGATTATGGGTTTCATGATGTTGGAGGTGGAACCTTGGTCAAGAGAGGAGCTCAATGGTAGCATGAACATCATCCAAACTTCTATTAATGCTAGGTGAGTTCCATTAGTTAGAAACTTGGGGTAGGATTTGGGATTATGACATGAAATTGGGGTTAAGGGTTAGGTTGATAATTTGTGAATGTATGTTGACTTTTAATGTTGAATAACATGTTTCTAACCTGAAAGTTGGTGTTTGTATACTTTGGCTATTTGAATTGAAGTTGGAAATTGGGATTTGAAACCCGAAAACAGAACTGATATCATTCTGGTTTTTTCTGCTTTTTGCAGCTCGTGCTTAGCGCGCCCTCCTAATAATTGAATTTTGGGAAATTCGCAGACCGCGCTTAGAGCAATCATCTGGCTTAGCGTGCCCTCCTGGGACTTGAAAAATTAATTATTTCATAGAGCGCGCTTAGCGCAGAAGGCTCCGTTCAGTGTGTCCTCCTGGACAGAACTGTATTATTTTAAACCCCTTGAGTGTAGTTCCGCATTATGGTAGGTATCGTTCGCCTTTTTACCTTAGTGATTAATTATTCTTTATGATATATATATGATTATGTTGAAATCACAATACATGATGGAATGCTATAACATGATTTGGTGTATGTTCCCGTTCATTCTGGATTGAACATTTGTATGGATTGTTGAATGTGTTATGTAATATGTGGTATTGTATGAGATAATTGTGATTGCTCGTCATTCTGGTTGAACATTCAGTGTTGTGTATTCATCTGAATTGATGTATACTTGAATCGGAGTAGGCTCAGATACTAGGACGTAAATCACTTATGGCTTAGACCATGTGTGTCATTTATACCGTTGCGGTGTGCAGTTGTGGGCCAAAACGGTAGGGCGTTTCCACACTTGATTAGATCATATATGCATGCTCGGTATGTCATAACACCTTAGCTACCATTGTGATGCACTTGTGTGGGTCTATGTGCAACGTTCCACCAGTAGTTAAGAACATCGCGTGCTTGGTATGGTGATATTGTGATGCCACCTAGGCAATATCACAGTGCAATTAAACTCACCTCTAATGGTGCCATATAGGCCAGATTATTAGGCTTTCTCTTGGTGGGCTCGTGTTGTCGAAATGGTGTTTTTTGCACTGATAGTTAATCATATATGTTGGATGACGGAGGAGTTGTGATGCCTTATTGGCGATGTCACTCTTGGACTTATCACATATGGAATTACACTTAGGAATGATCCGGACCATCATTCTATAATCAGGGTAAGTCTTTCGATGCGATGCACGGGTGGAACTCGTCGAGGATGTGATTTTATAACCTGAGTAGGGGCAAGTAAACTTACTCCTCAATTCCTCGTACACGGGTACGAGTTTGTATACTTGTTTGTATTGGATTTGTGTGTTTGTGTTTTCCTCATTAGATAGTTATGGGACTTCTAATAACGGTGTGTTACAACTGGTTTTTAAATCAAGAGTCGCCACCATTAGTTTTTATCCTAGGGAAGGGAACCTAATAGAAAACCCTAATTCGTGGACAGAGATTCTAGGTTTCGGACTCAATTAGACGAAAGGAAGGTGTTAGGCACGTTTCATCCACCTTGTTCACAAGGATATTAGACTCTAGGTTTAGGTTTGGGGTAAATTGGATTTTAAGTTTTAATTAGAAAGACTCGTCACGATTTTAGATCGTATGCCTACGTATCCTCTTATGAGGAATCAGAGTCCCAATTCGTAGTTCATACAGGTTGGTGTTTTAGGGGTTTGCAAACATATTTTGAATCACTTCGCACTCGGTCGGGCTTAGTGATTGCGGAGATTTTGACTGAGTGCATAGTAAGTCAAAACTAGTTTGAAACTCATTTGCAAAAAGGCAGTTAATTAGTTTAGTTTATTGCGAAAATAGTTTTAAGATTTGTTGAATAATTTTTAATCGTGTTAATTGCGAAGTAATCTTGATTAATGCATGGTAAAAAGATTTAATGCAAATATGTATAAAAATATGTTCATGAGTTTTTTAATAAACATAATTTATTTATGATAATAAGTAATATTTACATATAATAAATAATAATACTATAAATAAAAATTATTATTAATACTAATAATAATTATAACTAATAATAAAAATAATAACTAAAAATATAATAATATAACATAATAATAAGAAAATAATAATTATATAGAAAGTGTAAGAAAATGATTATTAACAATTATTATTGTAAATAAAATATATGAATTGCTAAAAAATAGAAAAAATTAATTAATTTGGTTAAACTACAGGGGAGTGCGTTTTTTATTGACAAGTAAAAAGGAGGGGTGCTGTTAGAACACTGGGCCAGACCCCAAATGTTTTCTAAAGAGGAGGGGTGTGAACAGTTTGGATGTTTAGCAATTCAAGGCAAAGGGGGGAGTCAAAACTAGTTAGGCTAGGTTCATTATAGATTTTGAAGGGTCAGGTTGATTAAGTGGGTGTGGATGCAGGGAGTTACTGTGCAGACTTGGTCTTAGGGCCGTCTGATGTGTATCTAATGGGCGATAATGAAGGAGCATGATTTCTATGGGCGCACGGATACTGGATTGGACGGAATATATCATTTTAGTTTTTATTCGTTTTTCACATTTTGTTTACAGAAAATTCATCTTCTTAACCTCCTCTCTCTCTCTCTCTCTCTCTCTCTCTCGCGAAGCACAGACCCTCATTCTGCAAACCCTAGCGCCGCCACCGGCGGCAGCGACCTACCTCTTTTCTCAGTGTTTATCCACCTCAAACCCCAATACAAAAACAACAACCCAAAATCAAACAACAAAAAACAATGAGCTAAGTGTTTTACCCTTCTCGCGATTTATGTGCTCTGAGTGTCAGTCGATTGATCCTTAACCCCTCCTTCTTCTCTTTTGTAGCTAGCGGTATAAGGATCGAGAGTATGCAGCGGCTGGAGGAGACTGAGCTAGCGATTAGGGTTTCTGATCCAGAAACTCTAATCGCTTCCTTCTTTCAACAACAAATGGGTTTGTCCTCCGTTATTTCTTGTCTCAAGATCTCGTTCTTCTTTCAATCTCTCCTCTTTGAAACTCTGTTTTCTTCAGTCTCACCTTCTTGCCTCTTCCCCTTCTTCTATTTATACATTTTAGTTCTTTAGGGTTTTATTCGTTACAGTCTGTGAGCTTAGATTTAGGAATTAGCTTCAATTAGGGATTGGATTTTAGAGTAATTGATTCTTTTTTTCTAGGATTTGACTGGCTGTAATCTTAGATTTGGCATTAGTTTTATGTAATAGCGATTTTGTAAAAGTATTGATTTTGTATACTGTAATTGAGATTTTATTGGGAATTGATTTCCGGATTTGTAAAGATTTGATGAAGATTAGTTATTAAGATTTGATACAATTTTATCCTTTCTACGAGATTTGATTGTATTGAATATTATGTATATTTTTTTAATTTATTTAGATTGAAATTATGAGATTTAGTATGTAATACAAATTGATTTTATTTGTTTTAAATCTGAACAGTACTTGTTAACTAAATCATGCATATTTTCTGTATAATTCACACAACATATGCTTTCTTAACTTGGGCATGCATTGTATTTTCTGCCCAGCTTGTGTTACACACAGATTTGGCCTTCATACCCATTTCCTTTTCTACCCAACAACATCCTTTTTTGTTACTACCAACTGTAACAACTAATTTGTTTGTTCACAGTATTTTTGGCATGGACTGGGCCTTAACCTCTTAAGAATTTTGATCCAACACGCATTTTTCAAAACAGCAATCCACTATAATATCTTTTAATGAGTTATTATGATGAATAAATAAATAAAAACAAGTTTAGCAGCAATAATAATATATCGATCTTAATAAAGAAACGTATTCTTATATTGAATTAATAATGAGTTTTTTATTTATAATAATGCTCTTTCCTAAGACAAAACAGCAACATCAAATGGGCTTCTAAAACCCAATGGTCCTGCAGTTCCGTATCTTACCTCATTCCTTGCTATTTTTCAACTAAAACAAAAATGGGCCAATACAAACTCTAATTGGATTTAATTTGAATTCCCACCTTCTCTTTGCTAAGAACAACACTTAGATGGACTCTTATAAGTAATTAAAACATAATAATTAATTTTTAAATAA